CCTTGGCACGTTTTTTTTGTTGCAGTTCTTCTTTGGTGATCTTCCTCCCTTTCTCCTCTCCAGTTCGGCATAATAAGTAGGCTTTTCCCAACGATCTGGGTGTTTTTGGAAGTATCAGTGAGCATGCTTCTCCACAAAAAAACAAAACAATGTTCGTGAAAATTAAACGAACTAGTACTGCCCCTATGACGTTTGAGTTCTTCTTCAGGAAGTTCCTCAGTCTTTTGCTTTAGTAAAAAATCGCTTAATATGGTCTCTGGAACAATGTGTGCTCACACAGTTCTTGTGACGCAGTGTAAACTCAGCATCATCTGAAAGTCTCTGACTGAGTCCATTATCTTGTTGCCGGCTTGCTTCTAGTAGACCACTAATCCGTCTCGATTTGATCAGCGGTGGGTTTTTTATCGCATCCGTATGAGTTTAGAAGTAATTGAGAGAGACACTGTGTGTATGCATGTGCATGTTGCATGAACCAGCCTGATCGCATCACGTCCTCGTGGTGACGTAGCAGTTTCCTACATTCTTTGTTTCTACGGAGGTGTGGTGTGACGAAGCACTGTCTGCCAATGTTTCCTTCCTTTGCTAGCTGAGTCCATATTACAGCAGGCCGTGCGGTGCTCCTTTCGGTGCATCCTGTGACATCACGGCGAGAGGAGCTATTACTATTAGTGTTACGCCTCGTACCCTCGCGCCTCGCGCGAATCTTGGTCGACTCGTACATGGTATAGAGATGGGTAAAATCCGGATAAAATGTCCGGATAACCGGATAATTCTCAATGAAATATTATCTGAATTCAGACTCTAAACTCTCTTTCCTGACCCGTTTGCCGCAGTGAGTGTACCCATTTGTTGATGTAGTAATGCTAACCTGTTTAGCTAAGAGATTTTGCCGAAGCGGTTCATAACATATTATTTGCCGAAGAGGTGTATTAACATATTATCCGTATTTTGGTAAAGCGACTCATTGCCAAGTTCTAGTCGCTCCTTCATCATTCTTACATGATATTGGTTGGTGTATTTCAACCAGCAGAAAAAAATTATGCCCATAAGATACAAGTTGGCCCCCGACTGATATGAAGTCTAGAGACCCCGAGGAAGCAGAATCACCAAAGAAAAAAACTTTATGATGAAAAACAAGGTTCTAGCACTTTATATAGACCCGGCTCTCGGACTACATCCCTTTGGAACCAGGCCTATAGCAAAACACATTGTAACCAAACTTCTACAAAACGCTCTTGGCACGTTTAGATATCTATCTCTGGTGACTGATGCGGTTTAACTGTCATTATTTAGAAACCAGACCCGGTTGATCACGCTTATAAGAAGTTAAATTTGTGTTTTACCCAGTTTCAGTTGAAATTTAAAAAAATACTTCTCAAACAGGTTGATTGCTTGTCTTCATACTTACACACTAGACGTCCTCATGTTTGACTTTTATTTGTTCGAATTATTGTCGAAATTGGTGTAAAGATGACCGAGCTATTACCCTTTAAGTGGGTCCTCTTTTTTAGACACCCTGTATTTTTGTTCTAGGGTGTTTTACGGCATTTGCAACTCAGTTAGGTCATTTAAATGTCGAAGATTAAATGTGTTACACATGTATAACAAACACAAAAGAAGGAGGACAGATCAGGACGATAGATGTTAGGTAGGAATTAAGTTAAGGAGCAAGCCACACTAGAGCACCTGCCAACCACCCACTAAAGTACACGTATAACCCCAGTGTCTTCCTGATCCTGTCAAGACGTTAACCGCCCCCGTTTACTGTTCCTGTAAAACATTGCACCTGCCCCATTGTGACCCCTTGCGAAGACCCCGGATGATCAAACAGGTTGAAATGGGAGAGTTTTTACTTTAATTTCGCTTAATTGCACACAGTTGTATTAGTATAGCTCAGAAAAAAGTGTTTCCATTATACGAGGCGGTCCTATATATATATATATTTTTTTTTTGCAGGGAACGTCTTTTTAGTTTGAACACCTTCTTTACGTGGGATGAACTTGGCCAAAGCCTAGCCTTAAAAAGAGGCACAAAAACTCGTTACGTTGTCCAAGGGTGTTCCATGTTGGAATAGACTCGAGTGCGACATAAGTGTTTGTTCGTAGGCGCGTCTGAAGGCCGGTGTGGATACAAGATACAGTGTGCATTGAATTGGGCTGGTTCATTGGGAATGGCCCCTGATGAAGTAATTCGTTCTGCTGGACTTGGCAGTGGGTGGCTGAGTAAGCTTCACTCTCTCTCTCTCTCTCTCTCT